GAGGCCAGAGGCATTGGTTTCCCTGGTTACAGGGAGTCCTGAGCTGTGACTGAGCTCTGGTCCTCTGCACTGCTGAGCCATTATCTCATCCACACTCTTTACATCATTTTTTTCCCTTACAGTCAGGTGTAATGGCATGTGTCTTGTCTTAATCCCAGCACTTGGGAGGCAGAGGCAGGAGGATCTCTGTGTGTTCAAGGCCAGCCTGTCTACCTGTCTACGTGGTGAGTTCTAGGCCAGCTAGGGCTTTCTCTCTCTCTCTCTCTCTCTCTCTCTCTCTCTCTCTCTCTCTCTCTGTGTGTGTGTGTGTGTGTATGTCTGTGTGTGTGTATGTCTGTGTGTGTGTCCCATGTAGGCTAGAAGCAAACCTGTGGGAGTCAGTTCTCTCCTTCTACCATATGGGTTCCTAGACTCCAACCCAAGTTGCCAGGGCGGTGTCTAGTGCCCCTTACCTGCTGAGCCAACCCCCTGCCCCACAAGCAGACAGATTTGAAAACACCCACTGTGCTCTGGATTAGTATCTCCCAGGACTGTCTCAGGACCAAAAATCCTCAGGACAGAAATCTCCTCAGGAAACTTGGAAAAAGGGTTCATTGGGGTGACCTCGGGAGACGCTTGATACTATGTTATACCCGGGCAATGGACAAGCCCATTTCCTGCCCAGACTTCTCACAGGACCCAGGAGTCCACTTCTCATCTTTAGTGCGTACTATCTGCTAAGATCTCTCTTTTCTTTTTTCTGGTTTTTCAAGATAGGATGATTTCTCTGTGCAGCCCTGGATGTCCTAGAACTCGCTGCGTAGACTGGGCTGGCCTCGAACTCTCGAACTCAGAGATAGGCCTGCCTCTGCCTCCGGAGTGCTGGGATTAAGGGCAGGTGCCGTCATGCTTGGCTAGGTCTCGCGAATATTGTCGGTATTTATCCACTTTGACTCCTGTAGGATGATCGTGGGGTGAGGACACTGTGATTTATTCACTTGCTCTCCTGGGCAGCTGCACGTCCGCCAGGCCTGTGCTAGTGTGGACTGGGCTGCCTGCTTTCAAGATCATCCTCAGAGTGTCCTGGTTTCTCTCGAGTGAATGCAAGCACCACCCTAGGATGCCAGGAGAGAGGATGAGAAAATGATCACACCAGTGTCCCCCATCCCAGCAAGGGAGAGGAGACCACGGCTCAACACAGCCTCCCACACACAGTGCTACCAACTGGCTCACTTCTGTTAACTGTACTGATGAAAACGGTCACTCATAGCATCGTAATTCGCATTTTTCCCTGTGTGTATGATTCCAAGAAAGAATAAGATGGAAATTGAAGCACGATTAATAAAAACCCAGAGAGAACAATTGACATTCAACCTGAAGGCCAGAAAAGTAAAACCGCCAGCCACTGGCTCTTTCGTGGCAGAGGAACTTTGCGTGACTGTCCGGGCAGCCAGCTGTTTCTGTCATTACTCACAGTTTTTGGAAGTCCCTTGCTTGCACTTCCTGCTTACTCAGTTAATAATATTTCCTTCTTGGGTCTCTGAGGAAGTTGAAGACTAGATAGTTATTAGTTTTCCTTGTTTTTCTGATGCAGAAAGCAAGTTATGATAGAAAGTAAATTAGGTACAAGACTTTGGACTCACAACATAGGATAAATATGGAGTATTTTCTCTAAATTTGTCAAATGCAAATGGACTAGACATTGTTGATGTATTTATTGCCTGTGTATATTGTATATAGTTATTTTACTTACTGTAAAATATGGTTTTTCTTATATTAGTTATAGCCTTCTTTTTTAATTTAGATAAAAAGGGGAAATGTAGTGTCATTTTAATTGTATTTTAATAAATAAAGCTTGCCTTTAGATCTGAGAGCAAAACAGCCCCACTGTTTTAATCCCAGTAGCCACACTAGTTGCCATAGAAACCATCCAGTGCATGCTTTTAATCCCGGTAGTGCATACCTTTAATGCCAATCCTAGTGATGATTATAAAACGGGAGGAGACAGTTCTCAACCACAGTTTCATTCTGAGATTCCTGGAGGCAGGATCGCCATTTTCAGGACTGAGGTTAAGGTAAGAGCCAGTGACTGGCTGTTTTACTTTTCAGGTTGAACCCCAATTTCTCTCTCTGAGTTTTTATTAATCAGGCATCAGGAAATTATATTTTCCACCAATAAAATGGCAAGAACTGATTATTATTTGTTTATTGAGGCAGGGTCTCACTATGGAGCCCTGGATGGCCTGGAACTCACAACCTGCACCAGGCTCACTTGAATTGAACTCACCGAGATCTGTCTACCTCTGCCTCCTGAGTGCACCACCAGGACTGGGGAGATGGCTCAGCAAAGAGCACCTGCCACTTTTCCGGAGGACCTGGGTTCGATTCCCAGTGATGGCTCACCATCACCTGGGACTCTGCTTCCAGGATCTGATGGCATCTTCTGGCCTCCATGGGTACCAGGAATGTGGTGCATGGACACATGCAGGTGATACAACCACACACATCAAATAAAAATAAAAAGTTTAAAAGCATGTGCCACCATATCCAGCATTTAGTTTCATTTTGAAAGGATGTTATACCATTTTATAAGGTCTACTTAAAGTTCTATCCACTTTGACTGTCTGTTTGCCTGTCTGCCTGCCTTCTCTTCTCCCTCTTCTCTTTCTGACAGGGTCTCCTATGGAGCCCAGCCATCCTTCTACCCCAGTGCTCAGTGCTGGGGTTCCAAGCCTACTTGACATCTGGTCAAAGTTCTAGTTCTACTTTCATTACTAAATTTTATTGCTGAGTTTATTACCAAGTTTTAATGACTTGATTTCAAGGATCATTACTAAAAATTATAGAAAACGAACCACAGGGCCCATGCTCAGGAGCCATGGTTGTTACCTTTCACCCAGTTTTCCTATCAACTGGTTTTTGTTTGTTTAAATCTAGCTGATAATTCTGAGTGTGTGTGTGTGTGTGTGTGTGTGTGTGTGTGGTATGTCTGAACATATGTATCCAGGTCACACATGTCCAGAGGCTAGAGGAGAACACCAGGTGTCCTGGTCTGTTGCTTTTACTCTCATTGAACCTGAAGTCAGGCTGGCAGACAGCAAGTCCCGGCAGTCCGTTCTTGTCTCCTCTCTCCTCTCCCAGATGATGGAGATACAGGTTTGTCCATGGACCATGCTCATTTTTACACAGACCTAAGAGACCCAATCTAGGTCGGTGCAGCAAGCACCCCGGGCTGCAGCTGATCCTTCCTGACAATCAGAGGCTTTTGCAAATTCACCTGAAGAGGAAGTCACTTCCAACCTCTGAAGGTTTGAGATGACATCGTAGCAGACGGGAGAACTCTGCCACTGAGTTCCAACACGGGAGTGTGTGTGTGTGTGTGTGTCCGTGTCCATACAGGTGACACCCTCCCTCTTTCCTGCAGCACTGTCTCACAGGGTCCCACGGCCAAACCTACATTTTCACAGTCCTGACAGCTGCTGGAGTTACTTCCTCATTCCATTCTGGGCAGACCCACGGCCTCCTCTTCCCAGGTGGTCAGGCTGTACACGGAGAACATGGTCACGGAGAAAGCCAAGTCATTTGCACTGTAGTGATCAGTTGACCAAAGCAAAATAATGGGATCCCATGGCTTTTCAAAACTCAAGTATTTTGCCAAGAGATAAAAAGCACAGTTCTGACTTCTGAGAAGACTCTGCTGGCCCCTCTGTGGTGTGTGTGTGGCACGTGGGCCAGAATAGAATGCCCAGTGTCTTTCCTTATCGCCCGTGGCCTTCTTGTCTTGAGACAGGGTCTCTCGATAAACAACAACCAAACAAACAGAAATCCCTCCTCATTTGGCCAGTGAGCTCTCAGGATCAATCTGCCACACCTCCAATGTTGGGGTTGCAGGTACCGGCTTTGTATGCGGGTGCTGGGGATTCAAACTCAGGCCCTCAGGCTTGTAGAACAGACACGCTGCCCACTGAGCCATTGCCCCAGCTCCCTGTGCGAGCTTTGAAAGCTGTCATTTGTTTCCCACTTTTCATCAACGAAATGACAATGCCGCCACAGTTAGGGTGACTGTGACGGACGGAGCACAGACGGTGTCTGCCGCGGAGGCGATGACAGCCATCTACACGTCACTAATTGTTCATAATGCTCGGGTGAGTGTTCGACTTCCCTATAATAAAAGCTAACACTCAACTGTAGCTCAGTCCCACTTAACCAGATAAGAGTTTTCCACGGAAATGGACCCGAAGCAAGCAAGCACAGCTGACACTGCTCTTCTGAGCTGTGAATTCCCGGATGGTCACACCAGCTTCGGGATGTATCAAGTACAGACAGCCGAAGGACAGGGAGCATGCACGTGACACCTCTGTGTGGATGTGTATACGCATATAAACACACACAACAGTGTACATGTGACACCACTGTGTAGATGTGTATATGTATATAAACACACACAATAGTGTACAAAACACAACACAGATCTTGCAAACACATTTAGAGACACTTTGAAATACAGGAGAGGCCTGAGAGGTGGCCTGTGATTTGTCCTGGGGATGAGAAGGCAGGGGGGAGGGGTGGAGAAGGGCAGTGAAGTTGTGGTTGAGTGAATGACATATTGTATAAATCTCTTCACAATCTTTTAAGTTTTCAGCAAGAAATTTTAAAAGGTTTTTCAAAAGGTAGGGGTGGTTGGAGAGATGGCTCAGCAGTTAAGAGCACGGGCTGCTCTTCCAGAGGACCCAGGTTCAATTCCCAGCGCCCACATGACTGCTCACACCATCTGTGCCTCCAGTGTCGGGAACCTGACTGACAGCCTTGTCTGGTCTCCATAGGACATGCATGTGCACAAACACACACACAGCAGAACATCTACACACATCACACATACCTTTGTTTTTTAAATTTAAAACCATTACCCTGGTTTATTTTATCTGTAGTGCGCCAGTCGTGTTGCTGGCTCACCGCTTGTTAAACTCTCAAAGGTGTCCTCGTCACTTAAGTGGCTCATCCGAGTAAAAAGGAGCCCACCGTTAAAAACAAATTTTTAAAATATTTATTTTAATTGCGTGTCTATGTCTGTCTACATGTCTGCGTAGAGGTATGTGCACACAAACACAGGTGTCCTGGAGTCCAGGAGAAGGCGTCGGATTCTCCTGGGGCTGGAGTTCCAGGCAACGGGAGCAGCATACTATGGGCGCTGGGAACTGAACTTGGGTGCTCTGTAATAGCCGCCTCTTTGGGCTTTAAATTTTTCAACAATTTAAACAATAAAATTGGCTTACACGTAAAAATGATAACCATGTCGTTTCAGGACAACACCCCCCCCCCCCAGCCTCCAAACACACGAGGAAGCCTAACCCGCCTTTGAGACTCCCTTCCGTCTCGAGGCGTGGCACATTCTTGGATTCGGCAAACCCATCAGCTCTCCCTCCTCTGCCAGCCTCTTCCACTACCTCTGATTTTTTTTTTTTTGTAAGCTTCACTTATGAATTCCATCACCTAAATGATATGCTGCACAGTCTTGCCTTCTTCATTGAGTGTTTTCCGTGCGCGGAATCTGGAGCGTGTGATTCAGCATGTTACCACAGGCAGCCGTGACTGTTTTCATTCCCCCCGTAATCCAGCGTGTGAGCACACCACACTGTGCGCCTTGCTCTGCCAAAGGACGCTCTCCGACATGGTAATTATGAGCAATGCAGGTATGTACATTCCTGCACGGGATTCTCGGTCCATGCATAGACGCCTCTCCATACCCTGAATCTGCCCTGAACCAGCTCCCTGGGTGGCTCAAACAAGAGAAGCAGAGATCAGAATCTGCTTTATAACAAGGTCCCCAGAGTGTCACATGGGCTTTATCAGTTCACACTCTCATCCATACGTTATTTTAAATAAAGAAGAAATAGTTGGGGGGCCGGGCTGGCAAGGTGATTAGGGGCTTTGTAAAAGTCTTTGCCCCTCAAGCCTGACACACCGAGTTCAATCGTCAGAAAACCCACAGCAGAAGGAGAAAACCAACCCCACAAAGGTGTCCTCTGATCTGCACATGCACACTGTGGCACGCAGGTACCCCACACTCCCACATAATAATAAAGAATTTTATAAAGTGGCTGCCTGGGCTGGGGCTGCAGCGCAGTTGGTACAGCACTCATCTCGCATGCACAAAGCCCTGGTTCCATCCCCAGCATCAAAAGAACTGGTGCCTCCCAGCTCTTCTCTCTGCACTCAGGAGGTGGAGGCAGTGGGGATCACGAGTTCAAGGCTATCCTTGGCTACATAGAGAATCCAAAGCCAACCTGGGCTACTTGAGACCCTGTCTCAAAAATAAACAAACACCGTCCGCTCCATACAGCACAGCCTTAAAGAGACAGAAAGTCATATTCTTGGCTGACAAGGGAAAAAGTGGGGAGTAGGCATGAGGGGCTTGTGGGGTCGGCTTGACATGATCTAATTGCCCTCTCCTCCTCTGCCCTGTCTGTTGTGCTACAGTGTCTGCTTATCTTCAGAATCCTGTGTTGGAAGGGCCATGATTAGGTTATGAGGGTGGGGCCCTACTACATGGATTAGTGTCCTTCCCTAAGAGACCCCATGGGCGGTGGGTATAGTCACGGCACACTGTGTAAGTGCATGACATTTTCAAGGAATAAATACAAATATCATTTAAAACAGATAAGAGACACCAGGAACACCCGAGGAAGATGAAGCTGGAAGATGTGTCTGTGAGAAAAGTCTTTCCCACACGCTGAGCTCCACCCTGGCGCTTCAGCCTCAGACTTCTTAGTCTCTAAGATTATAAGAAAGGATTCGCTGTTGTTTGAGAGCTACCCAGTCCTCTGCACTTTATTACGGCACCTAAACAGATTAAGGTGCCCTGGTGAACCTAAGGCAGGCCCCTTAATCACTCCTGGCCTGAGGGAACATGGGGCTGGCACAGGGAGAGGCGTGTTCATGCTTACAAGGACGGAAAGTCAGCACTTACATAAGCTCACTGTGGCTCAGGAAGGCTTGAAAACCCATTTTACCTGTATTTAAATTTCCAGACTTTGGCTCCCGCCCTCTTCTGGCCTCCACGGGTACTGCATGCACACAGTACACAGATATGTATGCTGTCAAAACACTTAAAACATATAAAATAAAAGTGAATAAATATTTAAGAAAAAATATGAACAAGATAAAACCCAAATGAAAACAAAACCAGGGCGGGCAAGATGGCTCCATAGGTCAGGCACTTGCTGCCGAGCTTCATAACCTGACTGGATTTTTCCCTACATCGGAAGGAGGGACCTGACTCCTGCAAATTGTCCTCTGACGTGACCACTGGGTGCTCAGACACACCTACTTACACACAAAAGAAATAATTACAAACCCCACATATTTTCCAAGTCACATTCTCAGACCCAAACCATTAACATTAGGGAGCAGAACCAAAATCCCTTCCCAAATTTGAACTACTTAAAAACTACGGAACATGGCTTTAGCTCCTGGATTCCATTTCCTTCTAACAACTCCCTAAAACAAACAGCAAGACAGCCGGACGTTCGGGGAAGGGTGCGGCATTTACATCTCTGGATATGAGACGTGAAGAGACGGAGACGATTTACAACATTTCCGGGTATGAGACCTTAGGGGAAGGGTACGGCATTTACGTCTCCGGGTAAGAGACATGAGGAGACACGCGACAAGAGGAATACGGGATTTACGAAGTTTCCGGGTATGAGACCTTAGGGGAAGGGTACGGCATTTACGTCTCCGGATATGAATATAGGGGAAGTGGACCCATGGATTTCTAACCTTGTGCACTATGAAATTTCCTGTATTTTACATACATTAGAATAAGAAAGTTATTATTATTGCTCATATCAAAATAGAGAACTTCTGACGAAGAGTGGAGACCCAGAAGTAATAATTGTGCTCAGGTCAGGTGGTGGTGGCACACCCATTTAATCCCAGCACTTGGAAGGCAGAGGCAGGCGGATCTCTGAGTTAGAGACCAGCCTGGTTTACAGAAAAACCCTGTCTTCAAACACCAAAAACCAGAAAAAAAAAAAAAGGAATGTGCTCAGCAGATATCAATAACCCAGAAAATATAGGAAGGAGACAAACCCAGCTCTAAGGCTCGCCAGGGGACTTGAACTTTGCATTTAAGGGTGTGTTATCCTGTCCCCCCGCCCCCATCCCCCAGCTTGGTCTTCGACTTGCTACATGCTTGAAGTTAACTTTGAATTTGTGATCCTCCTACCTTTAATTCCAGACCACTGAGACCATGAGCTCACAAGCGCGCAACTGTGGGATGGGCGTGGGGACGGAGCCCAGACCTTCCTGCATGTTAGGCAAGCACACTATTGACTCAGCCCATAAAGTTTCAAACAGTAATGTGTTCTGTATTTCCCCAGTTTACTACCCCAAACAGGTCATCTCTTTATATAAAAGTGAGATGGTTGCATGAGCACTCCTCCCCACCCCCAGAGGGTTTCTCGGTCTACCGAACTCGCGCTGTAGACCAGGCTGGCCTCGAACTCACAGAGATTTGCCTTCCAAGAGTGCTGGGATTAAAGGTGTATACCACCGTCGCCTGACCCCTAAGTTTTTGTTTTGTTTTGTTTTTTAATAGTGAGTGACAGTCCTACCCTGGAAATCAGAGACATCATTCCTACTTTTAACATCTTTGGTCTTTCTGACTTGCTCTTTGGCGCCACCTAGTGGCCAAATGTCATTTCAATTCAAAAGGGAAATTTGAATTTCTCAGAGTGGCTCATGCTTCTCAACAACGTAATGCTTCTTTCTTTAGACCCTGAGCAGAGAGAGACATTTAAGAAACCACGTCTTGGAAAACCCAGTCAAACCTTACTAGGATACTACACCCTATTTACATCTAAACAGAAACACGAGGACCATCATGAGATCTGAAGTTTCAAAGAACAGTTGGGTGGGAGCCACATGTGGTGAGCAGTATGCAGGCCTGGAATCCCAGGAGGCAGAAGGCCAATCCTCTGGGCCTTGAATTTGAGGCCAGCCTGGGCTACAGAGTGAGACCTTGTCTCAAAAACAAAAATAAAGGCGAAGAAGTTTGGGTCACTTGAAGCATCGAATGTATTAGACGTAGCTGAAGGAGGGAAGTATTTATGAGAAAACCCCAGACCCCAGCTGTCCCAAGTTCCCCGTGATGACAGAACAGTCTGCAGGGCTGGGGAGTTGGTTACAAAGCGTACGTGCACTGACTCAAGTTTGTTTGCCAGAACCCAAGCCAGCTCACAATCACTGGTAGCTCCAGCTCCAGCGGGATCTGACGCCCTTTCTGGCCCCTGTGGGTACCCACTCTCATGCACGCACACATGCGCGTGCGCATACACACACACACACACACACACTCACACATCTTTACAAACTAAGTTAAATTTCACAATCCTATACCCATGTGGAGCTGTAACAAACTATCACTAGGGAATATATTTTAACCAGGCGTTAGGACACTGTTCCTTTCAGAGCCCCATCTCCAACACTCTTGTTAGAAATGGTCTGACATAGACTTGGATCTATGGAGGGACAAATTGGGATCTATGCACTACACAAGTACTCGGGACTCTGTATATGTCTGTAATTCTGGAAAGGGGCTCCCAGGAAGCTAAGTACCATCACCTACTATACAAACAGAGTGCACTGGAAACCCCAAACCCAAACACCTTTATTCCAGTTGGAGAACCAAATCTGGAAGATGGGAAATCAAACTGTTAACAAACAAACACATCTAGTCCCTCACACAGTGAGCTCCGACGCCTATTGCCTTGGCAACCTTGAAGACAATGTAACAGCTTGAAGGAGGAATCAGGATGGTCTCCATGTTGTTTCTCTGTTAAAAAATTACATAAACCATATAAAATACAATTACGAGGAGCCAGGGGCCTCTTACAACATTCTTCTTGTAGTTTCTCTGATAGCAACCCCCTCCACCCCAGAATGTTTAGAATATCTGAAGTACTAATCTGGTATAGAATCAGCCGGGCAGAGCAGGGCAGGGTGTGCAGCCCCATGGATGATGGAATAAGTCTGCTTGGGCAGTTCTTGCTGAGAGGAGAATATAGAGGGCGCTGTGGTGGCCACCGTGATGCTCTGGCCTCCGTCGCTCACCACAGTCACTTCTGCAGTTCCCTCCTGAATCAGAGCGTTAAGGCCTTCCAAGTCCGAGCAAGTGATGCCGGAACTGGCAATGAACGTCTGGTTTCCTGTGCCTTCCTGGTTCCCAGCTGCGGTGGTGGGGATCAGACTCTGCTGCAGGGTGGTCCCCACTGTCTGGTCATGGGTGGTCAGCAGAACGGTTGGCTGACTCAGGGCACCTGCTTCACCAGGACACCCAGAAGGCTGAGGAGGGGCGATGAGACTGACCTGGCGTAGGATCTGCAGGCGGCCATTCCCCGGGAGCTCCTCTGGGGTCTGGGCTACCAGGGTGGGGGGCACGATGTTGACAGCAGCCGCAGCCGCTTGGACGATAGTGTTAGTCTGAGGTACCTGATGCCCCACGATGATCTTGACCCTTCCCTCGCTGAACTGAGACACCTGGCTGGTCTGGAGGGGTACCTGGAGATGCTCCACAGTGAGGGGCGCAGCCGGCTGCTTGCTGGGGTCAAGGTGAAGCTGCACGACCGTCACGTCCGAGTTCTTACTGTCGTGGTACTCACTGTGCTGTCTCTTGTGGCTGCGGAGCGAGTCCTCCCGCATGAACGAGGCGTCGCATATGTCACAGTGGAACGTCTTCTTGGCATCCAGCTTGGTCACCTGCCGGCTGCTCTGCCTGCCGGTGTCCTTCCTCTCGGGGGCCTCAGTTTTGAGCATGTCCGCGTGGAACTTCTTCATATGTTTGCTCAGGTTACTGGGTTGCTTGGTGTCGAAGCTGCAGTAGTTGCACTTGAACGGGCGCTCAGTGCAATGGATGCGCTCGTGCACGCGCAGCGCGGCCTTGCTGGAACAGGAGTAGCTGCATTCCGGACACTTTTCCGGGTGCTCCGACTGGTGCAGGCGGCTGTGCTTCCGCAGGGTTGATTTGCTGTCCCCCAGGAAGTCGCAGTGCGGGCACTTGAAGTTGTTGCCGCTGTGTTTGATGCGGATGTGCGACTTGAGGTTCCCCTTCATGGTGCAGCGGACGTTGCAGAACTCACATTTGAAAGGCTTCTCCCCCGAGTGCACGCGCATGTGCCTTTTCAAGTCGGAGCTGATTTTGAACTTGGCACTACAGAGCCAGCACTGGAAGGGGGCGTCCCCTGTCAACACAAGGTGAGTTTCCATAAGAACAGGTTAACAACAACAAGGATCAACAAGGATCCCCCCGAAGCACACACAAGAAAATGGCTTATAGCAAGGCAGGAGACTGGTCGCTCCTCACCGCAGTTCCCAGCAGCCCTTGGGATTCTTTTAGGTACCCAAACTGAGTCATCACTGTGATGCCATCACAGATCCATCGCTAGAAAACCCAGATATGGGGGACAAAGAGCCATTTAAATGTCTTGAATAGAATCTGCATTAATCCCAATGCTTGCGACACGGAGACAGGAGGATATCTGTGAGTTCGAGGCCAGCGGGTCTACAGAGCAAGTTCCAGGACCAGGCTGGCCCCCAACTCACAGAGATCTGCCTGTTCTGCCTCCCCAGTGCTGGGATTAAAGGCAAGCACTATTACATCCTATACCTGGCTTCCTTATAATTGTTAATTTTTTCTTATAATTGTTTTTAAAAAATGATTTCATTTCTAATTTTACATACACCTTCATCGCCTACTTAGGAGCTGACAGCTCCAAGGCTCTGCGTCCTTCTGGATTTGGACTGAAATGAGTGCCGTCCCAGACCTACGAACACATTTCCAACGGGTCAGCGCCAGGCTGCACTCGTGAGCACCCCTCCCCCCCCCCCCCCCGGGTGATGGGAACATTGCAGATAGTTCTTGCAGATTTTCATGAATAGAGACGTGTTTATTGCACAAGATTTACTCTTCCCTTACTGTGCTCTCTACTTGGGAAGTTGCAGAATTCAGGTGCTTGATTTTTTGTTTTCTGTTTTGTTTTGTTTTGTTCTTTTTAGTTTGTATTTGCTGAGAGATGAGTCGGGAGAGTGTAATTGTAAACATCTAAGTGTCTGGGATATCCCAAACTCATTTACTGGATGAATGCCGGGTCCAAATTAGTGGAGGCAGCGATCATCAAACAAGCCGCTTGCTCTTGAGCAGTGTGTTTTCATGTGTACAGTGTGTGTGTGTGTGTGTGTGTGTATCTAAGGACAACCTTGGGTGTTACCCTCGGGAATGCTGTCTACCTTCTTTGAGACAGGGTCTCTCATTGGAGTTCACAAACTAAATCAGGCTGGCCACTGAACCTCAGGGATCCACCTGTCTCTGCTAGCCCAGGGCTGGGATCACAACCGGCCAACATGGCTGCTATTGTTATGTGAAATCTAGGAGCCAAGAGCTCTTATCAGCCAAGGTGCTTCCCAAGCACAGCCACGATGGTTTAAGCAAGTGAGCTAACCGTGTTGCAGAGTTTTAAGTTGATTCTGGATGGTTGGAGCCATGGCAAGCACACAACAGGGTGAGACTGTCCCTGTTGGCAACACCCCTACAAGGCAGGAGCCATTGCTGACGTTGGTCTGAGCACTACTCTACAAATGAGGGGGCCCTGAACCCGCGTAACTCACTCGTGGTCACCACACACGTGACTCCGGAGCAAGGTGATGAGTTGATTGTGCAAGCCATGCACACACTCTCAGGCCGGGCCCTCTGAAGACTGTGATCAGGCTTCACTTTTTGGTAGGTGGCCAATGACGTCATCCTGAGCTGCCTAATGCATTCAACTAGAGGCTGCAGGGGTCAATTTAACACAATCACAGGAAACCAAGATGCCTGAACGAGACAACAAATACTTCCCATGGTCCATTACCCTGACCATTAGGCATGCTAACTCCTGAACCGGAAGTGGGAAGCTTCAGGCTGTGGCCTAGACCCTGGCCACTGATAGTTTTATAAATAAAGCTATTGGATCAGGGACAGTCATTCTCCTCCTGTGCTGAAGACTGAACCCAGGCCGCAGCCATGTTAGGGCAGTGTAGCTGTTTACACCTGTTTACTGCCACGTGGCCATTTTCCTGGTTAGTTTTATTGGCTCAACCCAGAGTCACTTGAGACCCTCACCTGAAGACCTGCTAAGCTTGTGAGGCACTGTCTTGATTGAGAATGGATGTGGGAGGGCCCGGGCCACTGTTGGGCACCACTGTCCCTAGGTGAACCTGAACTCTACAGGAAAGCTAGCAGAGCAGAATCCGGAGAGCGAGCCAGCTTTCCTCATGATTTCTGCTTCTGTTCCTGCCCTGACTTTCCTCAGTGATGGCTGGGACCTGGGAAGTGTGAGCCCTTTCTTCTCTCAAGTTGCCTCGGGTCATGACATTAATCACAGCAATAGAAGGAAGATGAAAACAGCCACCATGGATGAGCTGTTGTGCCAGTGGCTACTTGGCCCCTAAAGCCCCAGGCATTCCTAAGAAGTCTTTTTAATTTATGCAAATGCAGGGTGTGTGTGTGTGTGTGTGTGTGTGTGTGTGTGCGCGCCAGAGATCAGCCTCAAGCATGGCTCCTTAGGAGCTGTCTACTTGGTGTTTCTGTTTTCTTCGAGACAAGGTTTCTGTGTAGCCCTGGCTGACCTGGAACTCACTCTGTAGACCAGGCTGGCTTTGAACTCGGAGATCCACCTTTCTCTGCCTCCCAAGTGCTCTGATTCAAGGGGTGGGCTACAACTGCCAGATCCTACTTTGTGTTTTTTAAGACAGGGTCTCTCATTAGCCTGAGCCCAACCAGTAGGTTAGGCTAGCTAGCTGCCAGTGAGCCTTTGGAGTCCTCCTGCCTCTGCTTCTAGTTCAGGATTACGTGTCTGCCACTATGGCCAGCTTTTCACATGAGTGCTTCAGTGGTAGACACAGACTGAACCATCATAACCCAGGCTCCCAAATGGGTTTTCAGTAAACATTAGCTTTCCCCCTGCCTTCAAACAATGTTGCCCCCTTGCGGCAGTTTGTGAAACTCACAGAACCTTTCTACAGGAAGTTTCAAATGCACAAACTAAAATAAAACCAGGAATACAGAAGAAACCAACTACATTAAGATGGCTATTAAAACCACTGAAAGAATTTTAGTGAGTCGTATGTACCTTAGCAGCGATTCCATCGCCACCTAGCGGCGGGTCTCGGAATTACAGTAGCTTCTAGACAGGTAAACACAAAATTTAATTTTGCTCAGCCACTTTGACGGCTTTGAAACCCCGTGAGTCCCCTGGGCGACAAGTTCATAGCATTTGCTCAGAGTGGAATGACAGACATTTC